GAATGAGAGAGGATCTTCATGCTTCTGAGGGGGGCTGCCGCGTCGTCATCGATGAAGGCGGTGGGGGGATGATGTTGGTGGTGGTTTAGGCGGTTGTGGGGAAGAGGGAGAGATAGAATTCTGTATGGTTGGTGTTGTTGTTGTTGGTTTCATCGACAGCTTCTGATGAGCTGTGTCCACGCTCGATTCTCAGAACACAAGGGGGTTTTTTTGCAAAATGACATCAATTGGTGGACCATTAAAAAACAGATCAGGTGGCTAAGTATGGTCCACACTCAGCGTAGGGAAACCCTGTCATATGTGCCTCACTATGCTTATTGCATGATATTATATATAGTATTATTTTATAAGGTAGTAATAACTAGTCCGTATATATAGTATATATTATTGGAGGGTATGGTATGCTTTGGTTACAAGCACAAATTTGTGCTTTTGGTGTGTAGTGGTATTATCTTCACTCATTCAAATGGGGGGACCACATTCACATTTGAGTTGATGTGGTCCCCCCAACTGAATGAGTGGATGGAGAAATTGGAGAACCTACTACCAGAGCACAAATTTATGCTCTGGTACCAAGCTACCCATTTTCTCTCTCTTCTTATATCATATAGTGATAGTATTAATATTTTAGTTCTACTATTATATACGATGATATATGAGAAATATGAGGTATGGCTGGTTGCCAAGCACAAAATTTGTGCTGGGGTAGTTGAGGTGGCATAAATTCCCTCCTCTTCAAGGATTGGGGGACCACATTCATTATGGTGTTGAAGAGTGCCATGGGGATATGTACACCATTTGCGGTGAGTGGGGAGGGGATTATATCACCTCACTACCGCACAAGTTTTTTGTGCTTAGCTAACCAAGCAGGTCCACGTCTCGTCTCTCTCTCTGTCTCCTCGTCTCTCTATAGTATGATATATATATAGTTACTATAACTTAGTATATATATAGTAAGTATATATATATATATATATATTATATAGAGGAGAGAGAGAGAGAGAGAAAATGAGATTATGGCTTGGTAGTGAAGGTGGCTTAGCCCCTTAGACTGTCAAATGGTTGCATGATCCCCATGCCCTCCTCAACCCATATGAATTGTGGTCCCCATTTAATATGAGTGGAGGGGTTGTGCCACCTCGAACTACCAGCATAAAATTTGTTGGCTTTGGGTACCATGCATACCCATTATTTCCACATATTATATATATATATATCCCTCCCTCCCGCCTCTGCTGTCGATCAGACGCCGACGACCTCCCGCCTCCTGCTGTCGAGACCGACGCCGACGCCCCCCTCAAGCCTCCCGCTGTCGAGACTGACGCCCACGACAGCCCCCTCCTCCTCCTGCTGTTGACTTGAAATTTTCTGGGTCAAGTGCAAAATCAGCATCTTCAATTGAAGATAACATAGGAAAATATGCTCACATTCAATCTTGTCATCTTTGTATTCAGCATCTTCAATTGCTGTCAAGTATAAATAAGCTTTGTGGGGAAAAATAATTCCATCATTAACCTGTACAGAAACAAGAGTTAACATTTACGTTGTGCAGTTGTCATAGCACAACTACAGTAGTCATTGATATACATCAGTACATCCAGACCAAATGCAATTAAGTACAATAAAATGTTAACCAGTAATTCCTGTGGCTAAGCATATTAAAGGGAAAAGAATAGACCTTGATGAGAGAATTTCAACTTTGAACACTACTTTCCTGAGGTGTACCATCTGTTCTGGTGTTAGATCTAACACAAGGAATAGAATGAAAACATCACATGCAAGATGTAACATCAGAACACATGATGCACATCAGGAAAGTAGAAGTGATGATATGCTGTTTAGTTCTGAGAATTGCACACTAGGAACATAAAGCTTTGTACAAATAGTTATTTTTGGCCAAGAGTTCACGGTTCATGCTACAGATTGCCTGTATCCACCTTGCACATAATTACAGCAGTAGATCAGATAAAATGTTTTGATACATAATTAAAGATAAAACTTACAGGCTCACAGCAGCATAATTACAATTATACAGATAAACTCAAAGAATACTAAATATGCAATGATGATGTAGGTTACAGGACACAAAATGATAAAGATTTCAACAAAATCAATAAATATAAATTGGTCATGAGATTAAGAAGGATAATATCTATAAGGGGCCAAACGATCCTTCAATTTGTACTGAGCAATATGAAGCCTAAAATTTTGCTTTAATGAGTCGCTCAATGGCATTAAGTTATTGACATTTCTCTTTTTAATTGCACAAATTTCAGCTTCTAAAAGACCAATAAGCAACCTCAACCCCACATCTAAATTAATACTGTATATTAGTATCAGGAGTAATATTTTATCTTCAAAAAGTGTTATTCCAAAAGTGTATAGGAGCAGCGGATCAAGGTTTGGCATGTAAAGATTTCCAGATCGATTCATCTCCAGTAGCACATTTTCTTTGGGTATTATGATGGATAAAGATGACATATGCAAGTCTCTGCTTACTAACTTTCTTGAGTTTGGAACTGGGAAGCTGAAGAACATCTGCAGATCTTTTTTTTTTAATTTCTCATAGTCTGCAGTACATAAATTTTGAACATGGTCAGCACGTGTATAGTTAAGAGAGTGATTTGTTCAAAGTCTTGACCCCCCATATGCTGATGCTAAAAGAGCATTTCAAGCTCTGAGAGCAACACTGCAGACATCTCATAGCCAGAGGTATAGGTCCACAAGCTAAACCGACAAATATTTGAAGAAAAACACCACATATGCTCCATGTCTCATATTTGAAGAAAAACACCACATATGCTCCATGTCAACATAAACAAGCTCTGCATAATCACAACTCAGAATAAAATAATACTTTTCATTTATAATTGAGTGCTAGGCAAGTTTAAAGACACAAGCCATATATGCTCCAATACACCCCCACAAGGTACAAGTTCAAGCATGAAATAGGAAAGCAACTATATAAAAACCATCAAAACTCAGTGCCAATTTGAACAGTGATCCACTTAGAGAACTCAGTGCCAATTTGAACAGTTGGAAACAACAACTCCTGGTCTTTAAGCACAGACAACTTGCTCATGGTGCCTTGTGATCTCCAATTTCTCTGTATTAATCTAACTGCAAATGTATAAGAGACATGTAATATGAAAGCTTCAGTCCTTGCATTTGATAGCTTCTGGTTTTGAGATTTCGGACCAGTCAATAACACTGCAGGCTCTATAGAATCCCACAAGGTACAAGTTCAAGCATAAAATATGAAAGCAACTATATAAAAAGCATAAAAAATGATCCAAGTTAATGAATAAAACATATACACAAAATTGCAGCAATCTAGGGAAACTACTGCCAAAATGCTCCTAAAATGCTCCGAAAATGCTCCAAAATGCTGTTACTTTTTCTATTCATGGAAAACATTCATAAGTTGTGCACAAAAAATAATTCAATTGAACGGAAAATAAATATTACAAGATGAATTCTCAAGTAACTTACCAATTTCGGGCAACCAGTCTTATAGTGACCCAATTGTTGACAATTCCCACATTTTCGATGTTTTACATCCTTTTTCGATTGTGACTCTTCAATTCCTGACTTGTACCTGCTAGCACCTGATTGTGACTCTTCAATTCCTGACTTGTACCTGCTAGCACCTCTTGGACGACCCTTTGTTTTGACTGGGCCACTAGGATCACGAATTAAAATTTCCTGCTAGCACCTCTTGGACGACCCTTTGTTTTGACTGGGCCACTAGGATCACGAATTAAAATTTCTTCGCCATCTCTCAATACTACATTTGCATTTGAACTAATTTGGCTTTCAATTTGAGAGTTTGCAATATGAACGTCATTAAGCTTTACTTCCTTCTCAACTGATACGGTGATATCTTGTAGCATTCTCTCCACCATAGAAATGACATTTGCTGAACATGAAGCCATCTCAAGGGTAGCATTGAATCTGGCTCGAATTGCCCACAATCTAATAATATTGCACTGCTCCATGCTACCTTCATTGCTTCTTACATCCATATCATTAAAAAATCTAATGTTTTTGTGTCTTGCATTAATTTTTCATCTATGCAATATATAATTATCAGGAATAGCTGTCAACTGAAGAAGCCATATGATATGCAATATATGCCTACAAAGGATCCCATCGGTTTCAAAAAGTGCACAAGAGCATTTGAACTTAAGCTCTCTAGATTTGTCATATGTAACTTCTTCCCATTTCTCTCTTTCTTCAGAAAAATCACCAACTAGATAAATTATTTTTGTCTCCTCCTTTAGCATTTCTTCATGAAAAAGTGATAACCCATTAGTAAGCTCATCTTGGAACATTTTGAAGATCCCCCTAGTATATAACTTGCTAACTTGCACTTCAATTGGATGTCGAAGCAACATTGCAGGCACAATATTCAATGTCATAAAGTCTTCTCGAGATTCAGATGCACGGCGATTTGCTAAGGCTTTGTCGTATTGGCATACAAAGTCGACAAGCCTAGTTTTTGTATTTACATAACCATCAGAAAATGCATTAATACTTTCACTTCTCTGACTAGTTGTCATTCCTGCCCAAAACATATCTTTCAAATATGCATCCACCCAATGTGCACGCAATCTATACATCCTTATCAGCCAACTATCTATATTCTCATCTATATTAAATTTCTCCTTCAAAATCTTCCATCGTTCCTCACAAGCGTGAATAGTGCTAGCTCGGTACCACTTATCAAATTATGTAGAAATCTCATATCCATATTGTGCTTTCATTGGAAGTTGCTGCTCGGCAATATGTCTGCCAATATGCCAAGAACAAAAACGATGTCGGGTATTAGAAAAAACTTGTTTGATAGCTCCTCCTATTTGTGCATCTTGATCGGTGATAATTGCTTTTGGTGCAACCCCATGCATGCATTTTAGCCATTGGGTGAACAACCAAATAAAGGTATCCTCTTGCTCATCTGCAAGTAACGCACAACCAAAGAGAATGGATTGCCGATGATGATTTACACCTGTGAATGGAGCAAACGGTAGGCTCAAATGATTGGTTTTATATGTGACGTCGAACACCACTACATCTCCAAAACTTAAGTAAGAAGATCTTGATCTCCCATCAGCCCAAAACACGCTCCTCATAGTCCCCGATTGATCCAACTCTATGGAAAAGTAAAATTCTGGATCGATTTCCTTCCTATCTTGAAAATTCTTTATGATGGATATGCATTCATTACCAATGTTGTTCTTCCTAATAGTTCTGATGTGATCAATACATTGTTGTGCAGTAATATATTCGTCATGAAAACTCTTAGACACAACATTATACACTCGAGCAATATAGAAGGAGCCATTCCTTCTTCACTCAAATTCTGAATAATTCTCTTGCAAGTCTTCGAGTGATGCCTTTGCCTGTGGGAATAATGATTCCACACTTTATCAGGGCTCGATAATAGATGGGTTAGGTGCTCTCCCTCAAACTTCGTGATAATCCATGTCTTGGAGGAAGTCAACTTAATCTTCATTCTTGCGGGACAATCCACTCTAGTATCTGGACGGCGATTGACAAGTTTCCCACACTCTCTCTTATCTGATAACCTTTTTCTCCCTGCCTTGTTGCAAACAAAAACTTGAGAAATAATTTCTCCTAACTTTCTTGACTTATCGCCTGTTTCCTTGCGGATTCCAAAGCCCATTTTTTTTGCATAAGAATTGTAATAGTTGTATGCCTCCTCCAATGTAGCAAATTCTTTTCCCTCGTATGGCGCCTCTCCTATGAAAGTCATCTCATTCGGGCTTACAAGAGCTGTATGCAATTCACCATCAACATCCATGAGATTTTGGGTATCATTTTCACTTAGTCCAATGGGTAGCACATCATCTGTTTCAACATTCATTATCCTCTCGTCGCCTTGAAACAATTATCAATGTGTTACAAACTTCGAGAGATTATATACTAATGATGCTAGTCTATAACCACACTGCAGTAAAATTGTTTCCAGGATTCGAAAGCATTAGAGTATTTATTTATTTACAGCCTATGGCACAACGAATTAGATCCATCGCTTGAAATTTCTTATCAATGACATGATAATTTTGGGTAATTACGAACAACAAAGAAAAATTATACCTGGAGCTGCAGAATTCTTACTGACGCATGGAACTGCTTATGAGAATGTAAACCTAATAAAACTAGCACGTGTAGAAAAAATTCTTACTGACGCATGGAACTGCTTATGAGAATGTAAACCTAATAAAACTAGCACGTGTAGAAAAGGAACATTATCATATTAATGAGACCTAATAAAACTAGCACGTGTAGAAAAGGAACATTATCATATTAATGAGTACGGAACATTAAATGACAGTAGCAACAAAACCAGTTTAAGTTTGCTTCTCCAGAATCATGAAAGGTTACAGCTTATCGGAGACGTGAACAACTACAATTGTGCTGGGAATAGTTGAAGCACTCGGTATATACATATTTTGAGGACATCAGAAACTATCCGCACATATTCTTTTCCCCCTCAGAAACTGTACGCAATTAGCATAATAACCCAGAAAAGCACTAGCACAATAACGCAATTAGCATAAAAATTCAAGTCAACCCCAATTCACAATAGTAAAGCATTAGCATAATAACGCAAGAAAGAGGCCAACCAAATGTAATTGAAATCTGAACAGACCACTCTAGCAGAATTGAAATCTGAACAGATTTTGTCGCGTTGAGACCAGAAATCACTCCAAAAATACCCAAATTGAGACTGTACGAAAACTACCTGCGTGGGCGTCGATCGCGAGAGAGGAAGAAGTGATGGGCCTTCGACGGGGGAGATCGGCGTCGGCGTCGACATAGGGAGGAGGGAGGGCGTCAGTCTCGACAGCGGGAGGCTTGAGGGGGGCGTCGGCGTCGGTCTCGACAGCAGGAGGCGGGAGGTCATCGGCGTCTGATCGACAGCAGGAGGCGGGAGGAGGAGGGTTGTTCGCGTGGAAAACTGTGTTCTTTTTCATTGAGATAATTGTCATCTTGGATTACAAAGATCCGGTC